CTGAAGTTTCAGCATTGCAGAAGGACAGGGTTCTGGAGACCCGTTTCACAGCAATGTGAATATACATAACACTACTAAACCGTACACTTAGAAATGGTTGAGATAGTACATTTTATGTTACCTGTTTTTTATCACAATGAAACACAATTAGTTCACCACACTTCATTCCCGTTATTGTCGCTGCCATTTTTGCGATGAGGCGGAAAAGGACAGGAAGAATCGTCTGCCCACACCCGGTCGGTGAGTCGGGACGCTTCCTCCAGCGGCGTCCTGACCACGAGGCACGAGCAGATACTACAGGGCTGAGGCTTCTGGGACGCAGACTCTGCCCAGCTGCCTCTCGGGCCCAGGGTGGTCACCGCCCTGCCTCAGGCCTGACTGTTTCCTCCTTTCCTAGCCGCCATGGTGTGGACGGTGGGCATGGCCAAGCTGGACCCCTCGTCTCAGGGAGCCCTTCAGCTCCCCTACAACCCGGAGATGGGTGAGTATCGGAGCTGAGAGCGTCTCGTCGCCGGGTGCAGCTCCTCACCTGCGCCCAGCTCCGCCCGGCCCGGCCTCACCTCTCAGGGGGTCACGAGGCCCGGAGGAGCAGAAGTGAACACTGACCCTCCTGGCATCTTGGGGACTGCATGAGGGTGGGACTTTGATCTTTGCCTCAACCCCATTTCTCTTCCTTTCCTTCCCTTGTTAAATGCAGTGGAGAATCTGTCTCTTTGTGTCAGGGCCGGTGGGTGAGGACACAGAAGCCCTGAGCTCAAGCTTCGTGCCCTGTCGCTCAGAGAACAGTCTGACTGGACTTTCCTCTCTCTCCCTTTGCCTCTGCTCCCCGCATGGTGATGATGGTTGTCTCCTGCTGCCGAATGCCCAGAAGAAGACTCCTATGACAGTTTTGGGGAGCCCTCATACCCTGAAGTCTTCGAACCCCCCCTGCCCGGCTACCCAGGGGAGGAGCTGGAGGAAGAGGAGGAAAGTAAGGTGCCCGTGTCCAGATGGTCCGCGTGGGCCCGGGGGTGGGAGTGGAGGGTCCGGGTCGGGGGAGGCATGAGGGAAAAGGCCCTTCCGCATCAGAGATGGCGATGCGCAAGTCAGGGGGAAGCCTGCAAAGGGAGGGGCCCGTCGGCAGGCCATGGGGACCTTCGCATTCAGGCTAAACCATGTGTTTAACAGCATCATCGAGCACCAGCTGGGGGGTGCCTGGCTCTGGTGGACCCACATCCGGCAGATGTGGACCCTGCTTGTGCACACCCTGTGAGCCGGGGAGCACTGTGGAGGAGGACGTGACATGGGGAAAGCTGATGAGCTCTTGGCCTGGTCTTAGGAGGTCAGAGAGTTACCTGAGGAAGCACCTTCTGAGCTGAGCTCCAGAGGTTGAGCCACAGCAGTAACTAGGAGAAGGGGACACACGGGTGGGGGAAGGGTGCACCCCTCTAGCGGAGGGGACAGTAGGAGCAGAGCCCATGAGGCAGAGGGCACATGGCGAGTTAGAGGAAGCGAAGGCAAGATGCCGAGAAGTCCAGAGGGGGCTGGAGGCAGGCAGCGGTCTGAGGAGCCTCCGAGATCAAAATGGAATTCTAGGCTATGTCCCATGAGCACTGGGAGCCATCGGGATTTGGGGTTGGGTGGCAGGAAGGACACGATCAGGAGGGGGCGGAGTTGTGGCTGGTAGAGGATTCCATCCTGACACGTGCACTCGAGTGGCCTCTAGAATGTCCCATCGTAGCTGTCGGGGACGCAAGCCGTGGGCCCTGGGCTCGGAGGGCAGGCTAGGCGGGGCAGGTCAGCCGCTAACAGCACTGTCCCACCTCGAGGCTGACAGCGGGCTGTGGAGCACGGGGCGGGGGGCAGAGGTGGGGTGGCGGCTTCCCCAGGAGACACCCATGTGGCTGGGGAGACAGGAAGAGCTGGTGTGGAACAGTCTCGAAGGCACATGTGAGATGTTCTGAGATGGCCTCGTTCCCAAGGGGATTCATGTCGTCATCGCGTCAGCCCACAGTTACGGATCAGGTGGCACATGGGTGCAGGGAGGCGCTGCAGGATTAAGGCAGCCTCTGCCCTCCAGGGGTTCCTCATGGGAGCAGCCCAGGTGGGGAGAGTGAGGTATAAAGTGTGGAGAGGAAGGTAAGTTGGAGGTGGGCCTTGAAGGGTGGCTTGGCGGTCACCCAGCAGACAGGCTGGTAGATGGCACTGACCACCCAGAGTCAGCACAGACCCCACAGGTTCAAGGACTCAGTCTAAGAACACCCTCACTTCACACACCAGCCACAGGCTCTGGCGGTTTCCAGGCCGCTCACACATCTGACCAACGGGCTATAAATCTTGGGGTTCCCACAACCCCTTCAGGTTTGATAATTCTTTAGGAGGACTCACAACTCAGGCAAGCACTACACAAATATAGTTTTATTATAAAGGATGCAAATCAGGACCAGCCAAATGAAGAGACACATAGGCGAGGTCTGGGAGGGTCCTGGACACAAAGCCTTTGTGCTCTCTCCCTGCGGAATCAGGGTACACCCCTGTCAGTGTAAGAAAAGAGAATTTTTATGAGTTTGAGCCAAACTGACTAGCGTGCGGGGACAAGGTGACCATGAGGGGGTCTGAGATCACTGACATTTCAAAGGTATGTTACCTTAGATGCAGAAAGATGATAGGCAGGCTCACTTACGGTAAAAACTGATCTTGGTCAAGGAAGCTACAGGCCTAGGACGTGACTACCTGCCATGGCCTTAAACTTTTAGTTAGGAATTTTGATGTTCAGACCATCCAAGGTGGTTACTTTTGGTCTCTGAGTTTGTAGGGCCCGCCATACTGGCCCCCCGCCGAGCTCGGCCCCTTTCTCATCCTCCCCGTACCCCCACACATGATGTGTTCATTGAACTTGAGTGTCCACAGTTTTTTGGGGGGTTTCAGAGGCCCCAGTTGATTAAATCACTGCTCACAGGACCGAACTTCATCTCTAGGCCCTCTCCCCTCCCCAGA